CCCTCTTTCCTTAGCCTGGAGAATGTAAAATTGGCATCATGCCTGGTCACATTCACAAGAAGGGAAGAATTGGTGAGTTTTTGAACATTTGTGCATCATCTAAAACTAAAGTTTGGTACTCTAGTGCTCTTATTCATGAGGCTAGTCACATCATGCCCTGAAGACAGTTGACACGCTGTGTAACAGCCTGTCTGTCCTGCAGTTTGTAGGTGAACTTCACCATTATCAATCCCGAAGGCCAAAATCAGTCAGTCGGCCAGAGCAGGCACTGAGTACTGATGGTAGAGGCAAAGCAATTGGAAGTTTCCTTAGGTAATGTGATTGACTTAGTTTCCCTCCTCTGAGGATACCTCCATTTATCTTGGGATTTGAGAGCACCAAGCTCTCCAATGCTATTCCTTCCAACAGCTTGGCTCCTGAGGACTAGGATCCTACACCTGTAGTGAGCTCAGTATTATAGCCACGCGAAGAGATTACAGGCAAGTTTCTAACATGACAAGTTAGACAACTGTACCATGGTGCGTGGAAGTGACACATATACCCACTTCTCAGAAAGCGGAATTAAGGTCAGAAAGGCAGTGACTTGTTCATAATCATATGTTAGTTACACACCCTGCTGCATGCAAGTCTCTTGTCCTGACTTCTGTTGGTTTCGTGTCGTAAACTGTAGAAATAACAACTTGGTTATTTTTAAAATAATGCTGTTCAGGACCTATAAAGAAAATTCTTTCAAAATATGCATTTGTAATTAAATAGAGCTTCAGAAATATTATTGCAGACAGCATATGCTGCTGTTATCTGTCAGCAGGGTAACTAGTTTAACTTGAGCACAGTACCCTTTGCAACGTGACAATTTTTTTTTGATGAAAAGTGTGTTTACTGTGGGGAAGACCTGTTCACTGCTCTTGAACTACGTGGCCTCAGTGCAGTTTCTCTAACACAAGAAACTCTCTGCTACTTAACCACTTCTGACTTGAGCTGTACCTAGTGAATGCTGGAGGATGCGTTAACGCTCGTGTCACACCTCCAGCTTTCAGAAATACCTATAAACCTGGAGTAGAAAAATCAGATGACTGCAATTATGCCCTTTCTAGATACCATCAAGACATTGCTCTATGACTGTAAAAGGCAGCATCAGCCGATGTTGCCCCGAGCTCCTTTCTGAATCAAAGTTCTGTTAAGATTTTCTAAATATCTACAAGAAATGTCTTCTAGTCACAAGATATTAGGATCTGAATGCAAGGCACATCAAGTGCAAAACAATATTTTAAATCCTGAATCCAGGTGCCCCACCATTGCTAGAAATGTTTTCAATGGTGATTCAAGGATCAGGGAATAAAAATGTAACTTTGCCATCCTCCCAGCTTCATCTAACGCTATGACCTTTGGTGATATGCTCCCCAGCTTTCTATTACTGTGAGGCGTCCAAGAATCACTTGGTAATTTTGGGATGCAAGCTATAAAAATAGCCACAGTCTTCGGACCTTTATCTGTGCCTTCTCCGAGGCAATCTGATCTTAATAGTAAACAGGAAGCCCTTTGCAAACATAGCAAGAAGAAAACCTTTGCTAGTAGACATCTGCCCTGTCCAACAGTATAACAGTTGATAAAACTAAAGTTGTTAGTCTAGTGGTGTATTTTTCCTCTGTTCGTGCAATTTACTTATTATATTTTTTTTGTTAGATGGCTTGAAGGTGATGGAAGATGATGTCTGTTTTTCCTGGAAACCTTTCCTCTTGTAGTATTAACAGGAATCTTGACTTGGAAAAATGAACAAAAATCCATGAAATATTTTGCCCCTGATCTAGGCTCTGTATTACCTTCCATCCTGAATTTGAAACTAGGGCTGTGGTTTCTTGTAATATTGTAATGTAAATGCTGAATGTGCATTGTAGAGCAGTGAGCTGCAGCAACAAATACCTTAATAACTTGCATTTGTGCAGCATATTTCTGTTCTGGAGGATCTCTCGTGTGCCTGGCCATACTGGGGCTGTGATTAATAGAGAATTCTTATGTTAACTGTTGAGCTACAACTCTGTTCCAAGTTCAGTGCATCAGCTACTCGCGTACAAGACAAGAGGAAGTATATTCTTCTATTTTGTTTTCAGTTTTCTTTCCTGGTAAAGCTGTAGCGTGAGGAATGCTGTCTCAGCCAATATTACTGACTTTCTGAGCAGGTTTAGTCCGTCTACAATTATGTGTCAAAAAATGCCAACCAAGAAATAGTACAGATAGAATCTTATCTAGAGTTTTCACGTTTTGGCAGGGATAGCTGGAAAGCCTGGCATCTCATGTTCAGTTTATTAAGGTGATTTTCATGACTATAAGAACAGCTGCCTCTATTCATGTGCTTAGCTATGTTAGTGTTAAGTTTATCTCCTTTTCTTTCCTAAAGGTATTGTGTCAAGATCTGGAACGCTGACATATGAAGCTGTTCATCAGACAACGCAAGTTGGATTGGGGCAGTCTTTCTGCGTTGGTAGGTTTCCTCAGAAACAGCCTATTGCACCTACACTAATCTGCTTTTTCTGTACAAGAAGAAATCCAAAATAATTTCTTTTTGCAAGCATGGAAATTGCTGAATGGCAATTATGTTGAGGAATGAGATCCCTATGTACTGTGAAGAGTATAACCCTGTTCTTTTATCATTTCTACATCCGATTAATAAAAGCCTAAAAACCAGCTTTGAACAGAGAACTGCCAGCAAATATGATGTCAATTTGGAAACAGAGTTTCCCAAGAAGTTTAATATTATAAAGGGATAGGGATTAGGGTTAATTTAGGATTAAATTGTTAGGCATTTAGTTGGGTATGTTAAGTAAATTCAGTTTTCTTACAGCAAAATTCTACAGCTGGGGTTTTGGTCCTGCTGTGTCTTATACGGAGGCTCTGTATAATAATATTTGCTTAGGGTTTGAAAGGAGATTATTCAGATATCAAAGCTTTCTGTGAATTGTGGGGGAGATATTTGGAGCAGGAATTTGGCATTCTAACTTGGGAAGAGCCTTCAGAGCTGCCCCTCTTACGAGCCTTTGGGAATACTCTTCATGCTGAAATTTACTTTGAAACTTGTACCGTAAATGCAACATCATTATCTTGAGTTAGTCTTTTTTTTGTGGTTTTAATTTTTTTTCAGGGATTGGAGGCGATCCCTTCAATGGAACTAATTTTATTGACTGCCTTGATGTTTTCCTGAAGGATCCTCATACTGAGGGGATCATATTGATCGGGGAAATTGGAGGAAATGCTGAAGAAGATGCAGCAGCATTCTTGAAAGAAAATAATTCTGTAAGTCTTAAACAGCTTGCTTCTAGACACCTTGGAAGTTAGCCATCTTCTTTTGCCATGTCAAGGAAAACTGAGTTCAATCTCTACAAACAAACGGTCATACTTTTATTAAAGAGAAAGAGTTGAAATTAGGAGCTTTGTCCAGATTAAATCTAACTGGAGTGCAGTGTCAACTTCCGATTTTTAGTCCTGTAATGATATTTGTAGTGAACATTCTGTTTTTTGTAATATACGTGGCTCTGTAGAGAGATGTTTTAAAGTTTCTGATTGCGTCTGGTTTATGATGCTTATCAGGAGAGAAAGTATTCCATGCGCTTCAGACTCTCAGTTCCATGTTGTCTGAGGTTTCTAGCTGTTTAGTATCTTTGCCTGGCTCATTGATATTTAGGAAAAAAAAAATCTGCCATCTGGAATTACTTTTCATCTCACTCTCCCTCATGTAAAACAGCGTCTTTTCTTTCTTCACAGGGTCCAAATGCCAAGCCGGTTGTGTCATTCATAGCTGGTCTGACCGCTCCTCCAGGCAGGCGGATGGGTCATGCTGGAGCAATCATTGCTGGGGGAAAGGGTGGAGCTAAAGAGAAGATAGCCGCTCTTCAGAGCGCTGGCGTTGTTGTCAGCATGTCTCCTGCTCAGCTAGGTAGCACCATCTACAAGGTTCGTTGCTTGGAAATTGGTGCACATACTCATCCAGAGCATGAAGCTACTTTTGAGGGAATACGGGTTGGGAGTACATCTCTTACCCAAATATTCTGTTGCTCTGAACTTGGTTAAACCTAAGAACTCTATTGACTGAACAAGCTGCAGTTATTACTTAGATAGTACGCACACGTAGTTTTAGGTAATGTTGCCTTTATAGAAAAGTAAACATAGCAAAATAGAGAAGAGATTACTTTTTGCTTTCAAGTGTAGCAACTTGTTGAATTGTGTTTTCTGGATACAAAGAACCTGAATTAATTTAAAATATAAAAACATTCTTTGAAAGTAGGGTATTTGAGGAAGGAAAACCTTGGCACATAGGTCTATCTATTTTACGTACTAATTCAATTAGAATTATGGTTGAATGCATACAGCTGAAAAACTTATGTGTGGCATAGGATTATTTGTGCTTTTCTTAATTCGTATCCAAAAAAAGGCATTGCTTCACAGCTAGAGGAAAGGCATAATTCAGCTGTGCTAGGTATTTTTTTTTCTGTGGTGACCGTGTAGTATAGCATCTTCACAGGCTGCTGTGGGATTCTTCCCTTCTTCTGTTGTGTTTTTTCCTTTGCTAAAATGAAAATCTTTACTCCCCTGGCTTGAATCCTTTACTGTAAGGATTCCACTGCAGTTCTTATGCAGAATTAGTGTTTTTCAAGCCTGTTACGCTATGCCTGGGAGCAAATGGTTCCTTGGCGGCATTACAATCTGAGTGCAGTGCACTGACTGCAGTCTAGCACTACTGGTTTTTCATAGCTGGTTTGTTAATGTGAGGTGGGAGAATACTTACTCGCCTTTCCCCTAACTTGCACACATTATGCATTTCATATTTTAATTTTTAATTCCAGTTTTCAAGTCCTAAAATCAGATTTGCTAAGATAAATACAAAGTAATTTAAAATAGTAATAGAAGCATTTTCTTTTTTTCCCACTGGTAATGTCTGTGTGCTGTTTGCAGGAGTTTGAGAAAAGGAAACTGCTGTAAGAGAAGACGCTTTGGAATACTGTCTCCAAAACCAGTGCAGCACCTGGCCTCTGCTTGTCTTTTGTCTGCTAATCTTCAGTTGCCCAAATGACTGACACTGGTCTATGAATTTGACTTGGAAGCCATAAACCTCCTGGCTAAACCTGTTTTGATGTCTCCTTGGTTCAGACCTTATCACCTCACTGTAAATCACAGCAAATTAATAAATCTACTACTAAATCTGATCCATCTTTTGAATTCCTGAAGCACAGCCGTTTCTTCAATCATCATAAACAAAATAATCTTTTGTAACTTAAGCACTGCCCATTTTTAAGGTAAAGTCGCTTATAGAGATGCTTTTAAGGATCAAGGCACTGACTTTATGCACATATCACACTTTTTGCTTTATTTTTAAAACATCCAGTCTTACTTGTTCGTTGCTGGCAAGTGTGTGTGTTTGAACAATAGGCCAAAGCTTCCGTCCATTAAACCAAAGCTGCTGGATCTGAAGGGGTTGCTTGTTGATCCACGTAGCTGGATATGCCTGAAGTCCAGACTTTCTTTTCAAGGCTGATGAGCCGTGCGCAGTGTGGTCCTCTGCTGGCAAGGAATTCTCTTTGTCTGGAGAGATGGAATTTTTATTCACAAACATGAATTTAATTTCCCATGCAAATATATATTCAGAATTGTCTGTAACTATGAAATGATTTGGTCTTTAGCTTACATTACCTTAATTTCCTCTTTATGTTAACTAGGATTGCATTGCTTGAAATCCTAATAACATTGGGGTGTAATGGAGGAGAATTATTATTCTCTGGAAAAGAATGTAATAAGGTAACTTTCTTGTTAACCACTCCCAGCACTGTAATGGAAAGCTCTTTTGTTACTTTGGAAGTAGCCCAAGCACTGTGCCTATAAATGAGCGTTACAAGTTTTATCAGGATCGACTGAAAACAAGATTGCTGTCTTTATATAGCGGACTGCAAGTTCATGTAACCTGGCATTTGTCTAAAGCTAACCTTGTGTTCCATAAAGGTGCTGTTACGAAAACTCGTGTCGTTATTTGTTTAAAACTGTTCTTAGCTTTCTTACTCAAATGCCTGTGGAATTTCTCTTCCTAATGCAAGCAGTAGGCAGGTATCTTGATGCCGACATTTACAGTTCCTAGAGCTAAGCCCTGATGAAATGCATAAAAGGACAGGTCATATCTCCGCTGCGCTGAATGTATTAATATGCTTCGTATACGATCAGGCATCAGTCAGATGATGTAGGCCTTAGGATACAGAGGCCAGACGCTGTATTATTCACCTTGGTGGGATTTACTAAAATGAACCTGACATCCTATCACTAGGCAGTTGGAAGCAGTACTGCGTGGTAAATCATTTGATAAAGACTATGACAACAGATAGGAATTTTCTTACCAGATCTGCTCAGTTTTCTGGTGGTGCCTGATTAAATCTGGAGCAGAAGGACTGAACGGTGCCCTTTAACTAGAGAAATACCAGTGCTAACATGCCTCAGTCTGTGTAAGAGTGCAATTCTTCACCCTTGAATGTCAGAATATTGCAGCCTGTCTTCTTATGGGCCTGCTAATCAAAGTAAGTCATCGTAGTGGTGGGCTTCTCCACAGCACCTCTTGTGGGGTGGGTAATGCTTCTTGATGAACTCCCTGAATTTTGTCATTGCCACCAGTGTTACAACAGCTGACCTTCCAGGACAGTTGTGTGGTACGTTTCCTGCTAGGGATTGCTCCATGGAAGCTCTTTGAGACGCGCCAGGTATTTCAGAAGACAGCCATAAACTCCAATGACCGTTGTCCCCTGAGAAAGCGTTTCCGCATGTCTTGAAATTTGAGTATGGGTTTAAAAATACGGCCTTGATTCTCGTGTTTGCAGCGGCCGTCTGGTGCTGTTTGAGCCGGGGGAAGCGGTCGGTACGAGCCTGGAACCGAGCATCGCCTAAGGGTGGGAAGAAACCTGACCTTGGCTGATAGAAAGGCTTAGTTCTCGCAGTTTTCTCTTGCTGCCTAAAAACGTGCACTTGACAGATATCATCGGAGCCTTTTACATTGCTAATGACAATGTCTCTGCGGAAGACATTCACGTCTGTTCAATACCATATGGACTTGTGAATATTTTGAGTAATCTGATCTGGAAAATTGTTCATTTATTTATTTTTTTTAAAGGCAAAAGTTAGGTTAGTGTTGAGCCTTAAACCTGTTGCTACTTTATAACTTAGTAAGTAGTTATTACACGCAAGAGAAACGTTGCTAATGTTACTGTTTGAGTTCCCACTAAATTTTATGAAATAGTCCTTTTTTTCCTTGATCGAGCCCTGGCAGCGGTGTCTGTCCATAAATCACTTGCACTTTTGAGGGATAAATTCTGGATGTTCAGTTTGAATTCTAAGTGTGCATTTTGGTCGGGGGAATTCATGGCCACGCTGATTTCCTTGAACAAAGAGAAGAGGCTGTAGATCCACATCATGCTTTTTTTTCTCTTACTGGGCAATGTATGTCTTTGGATGATACCTAGTGCTCTCACTAGTGGTGCTCCTTGAGTTTAATGATGTTAATTTTGTTTTTTTTGAGGTTGATTAAAGAGGTCTGTCACACCGAATGAATACTATGCCTTTTGTGTTTTTTAAAATGTATTTATGCCTGATTTTTTTCTTCTTCTGTGTTTATGCTGTTTTCCAGGATGGATGTTTTGTTAGTAATATTTTGGGGGAAGGCAGTGGTAAGTTACTCTCTGTACCTTTGTACTTAAAAGGTGCTCTAATGCGAGATTCGAGCAAGGGGATTTCTTAAGATTCGCTTCATTGACGCTCACTGATGAAAACAGAAGAAAACATTGATGCCAATTCCTTTGGTCAGCTAAGGTCTCCTTTGTGCACTGGAGGTGAGAGGGCAGGAGAGGCTGGGGAAGGGTGATCAGCTCCATACTCCAATGCCAAGATGTTCTTAAAACCGCATGGGATTACTGAGATGATTAGTGGTGGATTTCTCAGTCACTGTTGTCATGGTTTCTGAGCTTCACCACAGTTCTTCAAGCCGTCCCATTTTTTGGATGTGCTACTTTTTATCCTCTCGCTTACCTGCTTCCTTCTGCGGTGGACTGCAATTCCACAGGGCCCTAGCGCAGCGCTAATTAAAATTGGTCGGCTGCTGTATTGAGTCGACCTAGGTGGTTTTAATCGAATCAAAGATGCAACTTAATTCTTTGCAGATCAAACAATAGATTTCAAGCTTTAAGGTGAGGAGAGGAGCACTCACTAATGGGCCCCACCGGTACAAGCGGATTAGAGGCTGCACTCTGGCAGAAGGCTGCTAATTAGGTAGAGTGGAAGTACCTACGGGGTCAGGTTGTCCTTCAGCCCGGGGTGGTGACCGACCTCCGCGCGGATTCGGGCCCCGGGCCCCGGCAGGTCTAGTGATTGGATCCCCTGGTCGAAGCCAAGTGAGGGGTGAGGGCAGAGCAAATTGGGCCAGAAAATGCCAGGATCTGAGCCCTGGGAGGTGTAATAGCGATTTCAAAAAGAACCTCAGGGGCTGGCTTCTGTGTTGGTGGCTTCAAAGCGGTAGCTGACTTGCGATGCCCAAAGAATAAGCTCTTGATTGTGTTGAAACTGCGGAATTAAGTGTTACCTGCGCTAACATAATAATTTGCTCAGTTTACCATCGCCGTGCCGGCCCTTTCCCGCTGCCTGTCACTGGTCAGGATTAGATTAAAGCTTTTTGTAAGAGGGTCGATGTGCAAGTCTGACAACCGGGGCAGGAGCCTGCTGGTGATTTCTCAAGGCAGCAATAGGAGGAGTTGTGCTGCTGTGGACACCCAGCAGGCAGCAGGTTCAGGGTGGTTTATGTCTCCCAGAGCATCTGTACAGGGTTGGGAGTGCTGAGGCAGCCCCTGGCTTCATGGCGACTAGAAATAGCTGGCGAAGAGGGGAGAGAGTCCAGGTTTGATGTTTTCCACAGACGTTGTAACACCAAAACCAAAACGTCTCTTGGACATCAACTTGCAGTACCCCACTATCAATCAAACGGGGTTATGCTACATGTCTTTGGCCATATTATTCCATAATTAGTTCTCCTGACTTATGTACTGAGGGATTAAACTGTATTTCGCTACCGGAGGTACATCCCGGCGCTGGGTGGTACCTTGGCCTCCTGTAGTTAAGGTGCGTGAGTTGCTATAGGCAGCAGCACATATGGGAACTGGTGTTCAACTTGCATCCAACCTTTGCTCTGTGCAGCCCAAGTAAGGTAATTCACGATAAAGAGTAATTCGCTATTCTGAATTTATAGTAATGTCTCACCTTCCTCTCTTCCTTCCCCCTTCCCATTTTTTCTACATGGTCAGTATATCGAAGCATGGGAGCCCTGAGGCTGGATATGTTATGGAGATGATTTGTGCAGGCATTAAAACCTGATACGTAGCATTTTTTGGGGGGGTTACTTTGATATATCCCCTTTCTTCCTACCTGTGGGAATATGGTTTGGTGTTGAGTTGACTTGGAATCAAAATCTACAGTTCTGGAAATGTTTCTTTACTCAGAAATGCTGAAACACTTTCTGTTTTCAAAAGGAAATTGGCAACTTTTTCCGTTTGAGTTTGAGATGCAAACAGGTTATTTCCCTAGAAGTGGAAATCTGAAAGTTTTGCTCCAGTTAAAAACCTCAGGAAACTTCCTCAGAAGTGTGCGGTGATTTTTTTATTTTTTTTTAAAATTTTTTTAATTTTATTTTATTGGTGGTTCCAGCCTAGGCTTTCTGGCCTGTGGTGTCTTCAGCCTGATATTTGTCAGACCTGCTGAGCATCCACAGCTCACTGGCAGACTCGGACCCAGACAGTTCACTGCCACTCAAAGCGCCCAAAACTTCTCATTAAAGACTGACTTGCTTTCGGCAACAGTTCTGTGATCTCAGAGGAGAAGGAAAGAAATTGGTCTTTGTTTGCACAAACCACATAAATTTATAGAACTGGTATAGAACTGGGAGCAAGAGTGTTTTTCTGTCCTATAATCCCTAAACCACACAGCAGTGTTTGTGCTGTGAGTAGGTGCAATAGCCTATAACGATGTCTGTGCTGTGCAGATACATAATTAAGGGTCTCTTAAAATCTGTTTTGTTGCTGTAAAAGACAGCACAGCGAATTTATAGTTTTCAGCACATCTGTACGATGTACAGAGATAGTTGCTTTTAAAAAAACCCCAACCTACAAACCTATTTCTTTTCATTTGCAGTTTTGC